GGTTGGTCATAGAATGGCAACCAGAAATACCTCCGATTATCGAAAAATCAAAGAACATAAAAACAGCGAGAAAAGAAAAGAAGAGATAGAAGGGCGAAGAGAGGGAAGATACAAGGACTCACCAGAACGTAAACGGAAGTTTTTCTTAAAAACTTGAAGTGATTCCTTCCCCTAGGATGTTCAGAAGCAAGGATAGGTCTGCTAGCCTTCAAACTCCGGTGAAAGATCGGGCAGTAGACAACGAAAGGAAAGGGATCTCCGACGAGGTTTCAGGCAAGGGCTCTCTGAAGAAGTTTAAAATGGCAAAATGAGAGAGGGAGAAAGGAAGCCCATTTATATAGTACCCATCCCCATCATTTGGGCACGAAGCACGAAGAGGCACATTTAATGCGCACGACCTCCTAAACAGGGGAAAGCGGCTAGAGGCAATATGAAGTAGTTGGGGTAGTTATAGAACCCTTCGTCTCCTTACGACGCGTGTCCTCGGTGTTAGAAGATCGAAGGCTGGGGGACAGTTGATGGGACATTTTTAGATACTCCAAGATGAAGACACGTGTCATCGGCATTAATATATTCTTGTTACTGTGATCACTACACGTACTCGTCGATTCATAAGTCCCTCTTCCCCCGAGGTACTATTCATAGGGATCAACGACACCCAGTACGTTATGTACCGACACGTATCCCTCGGTCGAATATGGGTACATTGGTTCCTACATGTACCATTCCCTCGGTACCGAGATATACCTGTCCAGGTTGGCGTTTTCTGCTCCTGCAAAGGCTATTGATGTATAAGTCACTAGCCTAGGCTAAGCTAAGTTAGCCATCATGACCTCGTCTTACACAATTGGTGTCAGAAGGCAGAAGACTCAACCAATGAGGAATGGGTGTGTGGCATATTGTGTCAAATCAGAGACAAAAAGACCGAGATGCCCTTGCTGACACACGACTTGGAAAAGCAAGCATTTAGTGCACCATTCCTTTGATGAGACAGTATTTAATGCATGAAGACTCGAAAATGAAAGGTAATAAATATTCCTTTGACTGGGCATTTATTACATCCCTGCCGAGAGAAGCTCATTAAACACTCGACAGACCGATGACGAAGCATTGGTTGCTCGGGGTCCCGAGCAGTTAAGAAAGAAGACATTCCTCATAGGAATCAGTGTGCACGTTGACCGTATCTAATGATCACCTACTGACCACACTGAAAGCAATCATGAATTTTTAAGGTATAAATACTCCTCATAAAAGGCAAGACGGTATGCAAAAAAACCTTTTCTAAAAGAGTTACAAAGTGTTTTCTCCTTCCCCTTTCTCAAAGAACTGACTTGATCTTCAGAGAGGATACGCCGAAAAACACTCCGACGCCCTCCTAACTCATTTTTCTCTGTTCCAGGAACCTCACTCAGCCTTACTGGACCGCTCCGTTGATCCACGAAAGTCACCCATTACCGTTCCAGGCTACCACCGGACCTCACACCTTTCCAAACAACAAGGCTGACCATTCGATCGACTGAATCATGTTCACCACGGGAGAGATCTGTTCTTGTGTGTATATTGTGTAAGATCCTGCACGCACATTAATAATTGAGATAATGAGAAACTAACCAAATAGTGGAGACTGTAATATGAAAAAAAATATGATAGTTAAGGGCACAATATACAAAAAAAGGTTAAAATTAAGAGATCAAAGTATAATTTTGCCAAAGTATAATTATTATTGAAGTTCAATTATGATATTAAAAACTTTTTTTGTTGACATATTCCCAACTAATAAAAATATGAAGCGTATAAAATTATTTTATTCTTTTGTTCTATTTTAATTTTCTAATGTTCATGATCAATGACCATTAATGAATCCACATAAGACTTATGCCCAAAACAATTTTCGAGTGGTCTCATCCTTATTTAAGGATGACAATTTTCACTAATTGTATGTCGACGTAAGGTGTGTAATGTGTGTTCATCCGAATACCTTAATTTAATTATGTTTTAATAAATTAACTCTAAATTTTAAATAATCACTTAATTTTTTAATATTTATGTAAAAATATATAAATATTTTGGATTTGATCAGTTATAGGTATATCCAAACCCAAATTCGTGAAATATCAGATATCAGATTCAAGTTTAAATAATTGATAAAAAAATATCAATTTATATCTAATTAAATTAAATTTAAATTCGAATCAAAATTTGATTCATCCACAGTCAGACACGGATGTAACACATTAACCTCAACAATAGCCTAATGCAACAGTGCTATTGAGTCATACTTCAAAAATGTTTTTGTGCCTTGGCACGTTGTTAGCAATCATTATTTGAAAAAATCGCCTTCAAATCCAAAAAATTAGAAAAAACATCTTGAACATCAGATGCAACACATTGGACCCCACTTGACAATTAGGATATGGCTTTCAAACCATAAATCCAGAGAGAGAGAGAGAGAGAGAGAGAGAGAGAGAGAGAGAGAATAGGGCTACTTTATAATATTGGCGGTCTGATCTTCACTGCTTCAATACAGGTAGAGGTACTACTCATTCGCTCCATCTCTACCTCTACGTACTTGCATGAATAGAGATAGAGTAATGTATGGTTTTCATATATGAGTTTATATACTAAAAAATTGGACCACTGGGTTTCCATTCTAGGCCATCCCTTTCTAGTAGGTGTTTTACTTTACTTGAATTTGATTTTCTCTAAATGGATATTTTGCTAATTCTGTTTTTTTTTTTTACTTCTATTTTTTTTCTACGTTTGCTGTTTTTTTTCTTACTTCTGTTGTTTTTTTTTTTTTCGCTTCTGCTTCTGTTATGTTTTTTTTTTTGCTTTTGTTTTTTTTTTTGTTTTTTACTTCTGTTTTTTTGTTTGCTTCTGCTTCTGTTGTTTTTTCTGCTTCTGATTTTCTATAGCTGATGATTCTAATTTTTTGTAATGCTATTTTGCTTAAAGTAATGCTAATTTTCTATAATGATGAATGCTGGTTTTCTCTAATCTTGATGCTGACTTTCTGTAATGCTAAATGTTGATTTTTTGTAATCCTGAATACTGATTTTCGGTAATGTTGATGGTTTCTTTAGCGATGAGGATTGATTTCTAAGTCCTTGAGATTTGTGGAGCATTGAATAAATATTTTGTTGCTTGAATTGTGTGTCTTATATTTTTAAATATTAGAATATTTGAATTTAAATATTTAAGTTATGACGGTTATTAAGATTTAAGATATTATTAGTGTTTGTTTTAAATGTTTATGGTTTTACTTGCATTTAAATATTTAATATATATAAAATTAGAACTGAGATGTTTAAAATAATTAATCTAAAATATTTATTTATTTTTAATTGTTCACTTCGCTTTGGTAAAGCATTTCGCTTCGATAAAACATTTCGCTTCGCTTCTCACTTCTTACCTAGGATTTAGGAGTCTTGGTGGTTTCAATTCGCTTTATACCTTAAATGACACTGATTTAAACCGATAAACAAGATCAAAACCATTGTAGTGTTCAAACCACTAATGTTCCATAAGAAAAGGTTGTTATACACAAGCGCATGGATGCCCATCGCTTTTACCATCACTTCAAGTGCTTGCCCTCCCCTTCTCCCTTCACAATTCAACCAACAAGTTAACTTCTTAAGCTTTTCTCAAGCTTTTTCTCCTCCTTTTTTTGATTCTCTAGTATTATAAGACAACCTTCTCCAGATCTTATCAAACATATAAATGGAAACCTTTCCTTCCTATCCAAATCACATATCAAGCTTAATACTGATCTGACTTTGACTATAACTCACGTTGAACTAATGAGACCTCATTTGTGACCCCAACTATCGCGTCCTCTTAAAAAAAAAAAGATAAGTGAAAAAAGAGCAAATGGTTGAGAGCAAATGGTTGACACACTTGACTATGCAAACCCAGAATTTACCCCTCTAGAATAGTGATTGCTAGTGGTCCTTCCGTAAGTATGTTGAGGCCATTATGTTGCATCCATTTTGCCATCAACCCCTCTAAACCCAAACTCGAATATGAAATTAGACAAACCATCTAAACTATTTTTAAATTTTTTATGTTTAATCAAAGGTTCCTACTTCTCAATATGAGAAAACGACGTTCATGATCTATCCTTAAATAAAAAGTCCTACAGTCCAAACAAAGAATATACTTACCTGACTTTTACTATACTGCCCACGATGAACAAGTGAAGCCTCATTTGTGACCCCAATTCGTGTGTCCCATTAAAAAAACATAAGTGAAAAAAGAGCAAATGGTTGACACACTTGCCTTTGAGTAGTCATTGCTAGTGGTCCTTCCTTAAGTACGTTGAAGACATTATGCTGCATCCCTTTCCCCATCAACCCATCTAAACCCAAAGTCGGTTATTTTAGTCTTAGGCTTCTACTTTTCAACATGAGAAAAAGAAGTTCATGATCTATCCTTTTAACAGGTAAACAGGTAATTAGATTAAGGAAAAATTCTAAAGAAAGAAAGAAAGAAAAGGTCATGTAGTCCAAATAAATACAAAAACAAAATATACCTTTAGAGCAATTAGTATTTTGGTTTAAGCCTACCTTGTGGTTTAACAGCCACATGCTCTAGGCAACTGAGCCACTCCTTTTTCTGGTTTAAGCCTACAAAACTCGACTTCATGCTCACCAATTCCATGGTACACCAGAGCTTAAAAGATACAATGTCCTCCATCAACATTCTCAGCCACAAAAGTGATACACATCATGAAACCCGCAACTAGCTGTGTACATTTAATTTGAAGGCCTTCAAATACTTGTAATTTGTACCCTACATTTTAAGGAAGCATTTAAATCCAACACAAAAAAATAAATAAATAAAGAGCAAATGAAAAAAATAATACTTATGGAGTATTTTACTACACAACAAACACGCAGGGGCATACATTTTCAGTGTTGTACGAATCTATGGCTAATCCTGACAACAGTTGACATTCTTAAGCCACCCGAAATGACTATCAAAGTTTGTAATTGGTACAATCAAACCACACAACTGGTTATCAGGAAGTTTGTCAACGTCAAAGCCCTGTAGGTACGTGAAGTTAAATAAGAGTCAAAAACCATAAACAATCAGCTTGTTAGATAAGTAAAAATAAAATAAACGCCTAATGTACCTCGCTTTCTTCGAATTGTTTGTCGTACCAACCCACTCTTCTTCGGTCACTTTATTTTCATGCCAATCATCAGAATCATCTCCTTCTCCTTCTACTAGTGGTTCTTGGTTGTCATCCTCCTCATCAAATTTCTATTTTTTCCAGCAACAATTGTTCTTCATCTAGAGGAGATTCATATGCATAACCAATCCCATGCCCGACATCAATAGCATAACCAACCTCATGCCCAGCATCAATAGCATAACCAACCTCATGCTCGACATCAATAGCGCACTCAGTCGTCTCTCTCAGCCTTTACAAGCGAAAACCCTAACACTGTCTGTTCCCTAATCTCAATTTTTTTATAAATTAGATTAGATCACAACTAGAAAAAGGTATTTGTTATAGTTTTAATGGTGTTTTGAGTGATTGGACTTGGATTGATTCCATGCGGCCCACATACCATGGCCCAAAGCCCTGTTCAAATACAAACCCTAACAAAAGGTCCAACTATTTCCTTCGGGACTAGCTAGACAACTGATCTCCTACCTTAATGGATTATTTTGTTTAACAAATTTCTAATTTTTGAGAGATGAAATACACTTTTAGCCTGACATATTTTAGTTTTGACAATTTAATCCCTCTTATTTTAGTTTTGACAATTTAGTCTCAAAATTTTTAAAAGCTTGTTGAAATTTATCAATATTTGACAATTGTCTATATTGATAATACATCTGGACATGTGTCGATTTGAAGGGTAAATTTGGAATCATTTTGTCACCCCCTCACTATCGCCAACTTTGGTAGTGGTTTTAGCAACAACAATGTTAGTTGCTAGTGGGTGGCGTAAGCTACAACTATATTGTGTGGGAGTAGTGCTAAGTTACAAAAAAGAGTAATATATACCTCGCATCCTTTGAATTATTTGTTGTACCTCGCCCACTTTTCTTTGGTCACTTTATTTTCCTGTCAATCATTAGCATTATCTTCTTCTCCTTCTTCTTCTAGTGGTTATTGTTTGTCACCTTCCACATCAAATTTCTGTTTTTTCAGCAATGGTTGTTCTTCTTTTGGAGGAGATTCATATGCATAACCAACCCCATGACTGGTATCAATAGCATAACAAACCTCATGCCCACCATCAATAGCATAACCAACCTCATTCCCGACATCAATAATGCACTTAGCCTTCTCTCTCAGTTTTTACGAACGAAAATCCTAACAATGTCTTTTTTCCAATCTCGATTTTGTTATAAATTAGATCAAATCACAACCAAAAAAAGGTATTTATTTTGGTTTTGTTGGTGTTTTGAGTGCTTCAACTTGGATTGATTCCATGTAGCCCACATACCACGGCCCAAAGCCCTGTTCATATACAAACCCTAATAAAAGGTCCAACTATTTCCTTCGGGCCTAGTTGGACGACTGTTCTCCCACCAAAATGGATTATTTTGTTTAACAAATTTCTAATTTTTGAGAGATGAAATACACTTTTATATGCATAACCAACCCCATGCCTGGCATCAACAGCATAACGAACCTCTATAGCAGCATCAATAGCATAACCAACCTCATGCTCGACATCAATAGCTCACTCAACCACCTCTCTCAGCCTTTATGAATGAAAATCCTAACACTGTCTTTTTCCCAATCTCGATTTTGTTATAAATTAGATCAGATTACAACCAGAAAAAAGTATATATTTCGATTTTGTAGGTGTTTTGAGTGCTTAGACTTGGATTGATTCCAAGCGGCCCACATACCACGGCCCAAAGCCCTATTCATATACAAAACCTAATAAAAGGTGCAACTATTTCCTTCGAGCCTAGCTGGACAACTGTTCTCCTACCCATATGAATTATTTTGTTTAACAATTTTCTAATTTTTTATAGATGAAATACACTTTTAGCCTGACTTATTTTAGTTTTGACAATATAATCCCTCTTATTTTAGTTTTGACAATTAGTCTAAAAATTTTTAGTGGTTGTTGGTTGTCACCTTCCGTATCGAATTTCTAGTTTTTCTGCCATCACCTCTAGAAGAGATTCACACGCATAACCAACCTCATGCCCAGCATCAATAGCACAACCAACCTCATGCCTAACATCAATAGCGCACTCAGCCATCTCTCTCAGCCTTTACGAACGAAAACCCTAACATTGTCTTTTCTCCAATCTCAATTTTGTTATAAATTAGATCAGATCACAACCAGAAAAAGGTATTTATTTTGGTTTTGTTGGTGTTTTGAGTGCTTGGACTTGGATTGATTCCATGCAGCCCATATATCGTGATCCACATACCACGGCCCAAAGCCCTGTTCATATACAAACCCTAATAAAAGGTCCAACTATTTCCTTTGGGCCTAGCTGGACAACTGCTCTCCTACCTAAATGGATTATTTTGTTTAACAATTTTCTAATTTTTTAGAGATGAAATACACTTTTAGCCTGACATATTTTAGTTTTGACAATTTAATCCCTCTTATTTTAGTTTTGACAATTTAGTCTAAAAATTTTTAAAAGCTTGTTGAATTTTTTCAATATTTGACTATTGTCTGTATTGATAATACATCTAGACATGTGTCGATTTGATGGATAAATTTGGAATCATTTTGTCGTCCCCTCACTATCGCCAACTTTGGTTGTGGTTTTAGCAACAACAATGTAAATTGCTAGTGGGTGGTGTGAGTTACAGTTATATTGTGTGGGAGTGGTGCTGAGTTACAAAAAAAGAGTAATATATACCTCGCATCTTTCGACTTGTTTGTTGTACCTTGCCCACCCTTCTTCGGTCACTTTATTTTCTTGTCAATCATCAGTATTTTCTTCTTCTCCTTGTTCTTCTTCTAATGGTTTTTGGTTGTCACCTTCTGCATCAAAATTCTATTTTTCTACCAAGGTTGTTCTTCTTATGGAGAATATTCAGATCCAAAAACACCCTTAGCCGTTGCACCAGGTTTGGCTGCCATCTTTTTCTCCCTCTTTGGCTGCTTCAATTTCTAAAAACTAATGTGTAATTTATTGACTTCATTTAGCCCTAGATAGATTGTAGACACTACTTGACTTGATGTCAATCCAAATTGACAATGATTACAATGAAACTAGATCATCTTCCTTTCCCAAATTTAAGTAAAAAAAGATAAGAAGTTTGATTTGGTATAAATCTCTCCAATGGACAATATTTTTTAAATAATGAGAAATCTAAATTTAAATGTGGTCCAATTCAAATTTAAATAAAGATGTAATATGACCATTAGATAGAATTAAATTTAATTATTGGTGAAAAGGATAAGGATTAACTCTACATACAACAAATACATGATGCAAACCTTATTATATATTGGATTGAAAATATTTGAGCATGACAAAACATAAAATAAATCCAACAAGATATGACTTATTAATAGTCCTAATTACATTTAATAAAATGACTTAAGTATCTGAAAACACTCTGCAATATCAAAAATCGAGTGTAACATTTATATTTTAGATAATAATTTATTTATTTTTAATTATGTATTTTAAAATTAAAGTAAACAAAAAAATAAGAGATGTAAGAGAGGAAGAGGAGAGAGGTAGGTATAGTTTAATGAGGTTATCTGAAATTGACAAATTTGTTGGTTGATTTTTTTAACATTGGGGATCATGTAGAGAAATAAGATGTTATTGGCAGGAAAAAATAAATTTGAAATAAATTTTATACCATTAAATCAAAATAGATAAAAAAAAAATTGAATCAATTTGAATCGTTGTTGTGTTTCTATAAATTAAGAATTTAATTTTTTAACCATAATATAAGATAAATTTTATAACAAGGTGTCTCTTTCCTTGTCTAGACGCTGGTGACTTTTTACTCTAAATTTTCAGCTCGATTTTGATATAGTTAATGTAATACACTTTTGTAGAGATTGACATCTTTTTCAAATGTTGCATGAATTAACTTAAATCAGAGACATTGAGAGTAAAAAGTTATAGTCAAAATATTTAAGTAGTATCAACTTTATTCTTTCCCAAATTTTCTCAAAAAAATGTGTTTAAGCCCTAGAATACCTCCCAAAGATTTTTCAGCCCTCCAAATCTTTTTTTTTTTTAATGTTATTTTTACCAAAAAAAACCTTTAGAATTTCAGTTACTTAATTTCTTGTAAGAATGATTACCCCCAAATGTCAATGTTAAGTCAATTAAAAATCTCAATTATTCTTACAACATTAATCTTGTTTAAAAAATTAAAACATATTTAATTTTGTGTCAATTAAATAATATATTTTGTATTAAAATAAAATATATAAGGTCTTATAACCAATTGCAACAATAGCCCATTCACATCAAGACTGAAATTGTGCCTAGAATGCTACACATACCATCCAAATTGCGAGCAGAGACATCTGCGCAAATAAGAAAGGATCTCATTAAGAATTGGCAAGACATTTAAAGAAGACATAGACAAAAAAGGCGCAAAGAGGCCGACGTACTTGTCGTTCTCCAATGCAGGGGGCACCTCGGACCAGCATACTCGGGACCGGTTCCTCTCTCCCAGGCCCCACTGAAGACCAACAGGTCATTCTTGTACCCCTTGTCTGAATCAGGGAGGTAAGTCACTAGATACATGGATGGGTCCCTAGTCTTGAGATATAAATTTTGTTGGGGCATCACCCTCAGCAAGGAATAACATAAGAGAATGTCATCGAGACCAAGATTGATCCCGAGACGCCTGTTGAGTTCTAAGACCCCCATTACTATCCTAAAGACATTCAGGTTGCTCGAGGACGAGATCGAACAGGGAGAGGAATTGAAGGAGTAAAGGGGGCAAAGAGAATTTTATCCCACCATCTATAATAGCCTTGGTGTAGAAAGGGATTGCATTCTCGATCCTGACATCACGATTATGCCGAGTAGATTTAAATTCCTCTATACCAACATTACTGGGTATGCGATAACGGGCTTTAAAACTCTCTATCTGCTGATCCCCTTGACCTTGTATTTCCCGGACCTCGAGGGTTGGATCTCGGTGTCAAGGCGGGCCCTAGGCATCTCTCTAAAGGAAATGAGGATTTCTCCCCCTAAAAAGGTCCTAAGGAGTTTTTCAAACCACTGGGGAGATTGATGGGGACGAGGAAGACCACCAGTCACCAAAAAAACCAGAAGGAAGAAGGAAAAGGAAGAAAGAGAAAGCAAGGACTCACCATAGAACTAAGGAAAGGGTTTGGAAGCTTAGAAGGACTCGTTTCGTCGTCAAAGGTCTGGTGGCAATGGTGGCGCAAGTGTTTTTGCTCTGATGATGGCTGGAAAGGCGGTGATGCAACTGGTTATCTGAGGAGTTTTTCAACGAAAGCTCTCATAAGTTCTTCACATAAACTAAAGAGTATAAAAGAGAAGGGGGTTCAGTTTATATAATAACTGTCCCCATCATTGTGCACGAAACACTAAAAGGCGCATTCAATGCGCACAATCTCCAAAGCGATGAAAAACAGCTATGAGCAATGATGAGGTGGTTCAGACATTTATAAAACCCTTTGCCTTCTAACGACACGTCTCCCCTGCGTCAGAAGATCAAAAGGCTGGGGGCAGTTGATGGGACATTTCTGGAAAGGAGACAGATCGACGACACGTGTTCTCGACACTATTATGTTCCCAGCCAGAAATGGCCACGTGTCCTCAGCGTCGCTCGTCCCCATCTGCCAAGGCGATAATGCTCAGAGCCGAGGGACCCCCCAATCGGAGTGATTGACACATATATCCTCAGCTCGGTGAAAACCCTTTACCCCAAAGTAGGCAAATATAAGTTGGTGCCGAGGTGTTCCTTCTGTACGCTAGGTCCTACCCCTCTTTTGTTTCCATAAAAGCTAGTGATTGACAGATGACTAGCCTAGGCCATGCTAGGCTAGTCATCATGAAGACGCTCTGCTCAATGATGTCAAGAGGCGCAGGAATGCAAAACGTGTAACCAAGGAGGAGTGGATGTGTGGAATGAGATATCAAATCAGTAGCAAAAAGACCTGGATACCCCTGCTAACACATGACTAGAGCAAGTGAGCATTTAATAAATCCTCCTCCTGATAGACAACAATTAAGGCATGGGGGCCGAGAAATGAAGTGCATTAAAAACTCACATACTTGGGCATTTAATGCATCCTCGCCGAGAAGAGAGAAATAGAATGCTCGACAGACCGAGGAGTGTGCTTTAAATGCTCGACATCCTGATCAGTTAAAGTCAAACCCATTCCCCATAAAAGTGAGGGGCACACTGCCCCATCTCTAACAAATAGCCGTTGGATGGACTATCAGCAATCATGAGCTTTTGAAAGTATAAATAGTTCTCAAAAACATATTGCAAAGGTATGCAAGAACTTCTGAAAAGAACCGCAGTGCTTTCTTCTTCCCCTCTCTCAAAGAACTGACTTGATAGTCAGAGGGGATATGCTGGAGAGCACTCCGGCACCCTTCTAACTTATTTTTCTTTGTCATAGGTTCCCCCACAGTCTTCTAGGACCGGTCAAGCGACCCAACAAATAATTCATCACCGGTCTTTAGGGTTCCTTTGTCCCTCTCAACTTATTTCTTGTTGCCAAAATCCACGTTCAAATGGGTCAAATCTTAGCCCAAGTCGATCGGATATGATGAAAGCAAAGCTTCATTGCTGCCTAGATTCCTTTTGTCTCGCCTAACCTATTCCCGTTTTTCCAGAGATACCATCTTGACGAACCAGAATTCATCTTGGAAGAAATTTGTTCCTACTTCAACTATTGTGCAAAAACTTGCACGCACAATAGGAAAAGTGGTCATAGTTGCTTGTGGGTGGTCTTTTTTCATCATCTTAGCAGAGTGTTCCATTCTTACGCTCAGTAACATAATCAAACTCCTCAAAAAAAAATGAGCAGCTCATTCATCAACCAATCCAACCACGGCAACTAATATCTGAAAAATAAGAACGGGAAAACAAAAAGGGAAAGAGTATACCACTACTGCTACCACCATTTATCCCATCAAATACAGAAATTACTATTTGAGCAGAGAAAAGTGACAACAGGACTTTGATAACCAAACACTACCTGAGGAAATTTCTGAAGAATCCCAAGTTCCGTATGGCATACAGATCAACTGTTACAGTCTCAAAGACAATAGTTAAA